AATACCCACAGAAATATCAGACGAAACATGGAAACACTATATATTGTATTTCGGCCTGAACCCTCTCTATTGCAATTCCAGGAATTACACCCATATGTGCAACCATTTTCAACCTTGGTATCACCCAACCCTGAAAACAAATTCTTAATACCACGCTGAAGCGTTTGGTAATAATATGCCCAAAAAATTATGTATTGTAAATTAAGGGATTACAACTTTACTTTAATTTACTAAAACATACACAGAAACCTTTTAAAAAGGCTTTTTAAAAAAAACAAAAATCGCTAAATATTTTAGTGATTTGAATTCAATTTTAATATGTTAAAAAAGCCAAACAACTCAATCATGTTTTGTTTCAATTGCAATTGATTTGTGACTAGTCTGAAATAATAAAACCGAGTACATGTCTGTTGCGTCGATATACTATGTGTGGAAATGGCATTTAAATGTGGTGATCCTAATGAACTGCCCCATGTGACAACTATAGCATCAGCCATTTCTAAATGAAAGTCTGCTTTAGTGTTGCTGATATCAAGCAAACTACAATGCACTGCACAAACTGTAATTATAGTGAAAGCTGCATATATTACATAGCCAATAGAGACAATACCAATTATGTAATAACAATCAACGAATGCAAAGAATCTTCAACATAAAGACATACATACAAGTACTTATAAAAGGATAATTTAGGTAAATATATTTGAAAGTGTATTTTTATCTATTTCAAATGATGTTGAAGGTGGGAATGGGAATATGTAATTTGGTAGATATGGCAAATTGGTGTTAACCTTTTTACCACCAGTTCCCTCTTTTCATCACAAATTCACAAAATAGTCCTGTCCTGTGCACTTTCCTAATGGATATTGTTTTGATATAAAACTGAAAATTTACTCAAATTTTGTCTGTTGGCTCTAAAATTTAGGTTTATTTCCAGAAATATTGAAGAATATAAGAAAAAAGTGCAGAAAAATTTGGGCGAGAAAATCTGGTGAGAAGGTTAAAGCTATAGATTTTCAAATAGATTTAAATTTAACTTTTGTACAGCCACCACTTACTTAAAGCGCCGTTGTCGTCGCGCAGCGCGTATTCGAATTTCATATAAATAAACAATGTATTTTATACGCGCTGTATAAGTCGCTATGAGTCCCATATCGAACAGGACGCGGCACAATGACTGCCACCCTTTAATTTCACTCTAAAATTGTACACTAAAGTAACAAAAGTGGGTACAAACAATTCAAATCTCATTTGCTCTATTCTCGGTGGCAAGCACTTTGCTAAATATGAATATCAATCGAAGACTGCCATAAATGTATCCTCTAAAATTTCAAGATTGGTTTCTATAGTTACAAAACTGATTTCATATGTTTAATGTGCTTGTCTAGGCACGAAAACCTTAAGGCCTCAAATAAAAATATAAACTTTTTTTATTTAAATTGGGTGGTGGGGCTATATTTCACAGTGCACAAACGTTGCACGTTTATAACTTCGTCAACAGAGGGCGCTGTGCGGCTGCGAAATTAGTGAAAACAAACAAAACGCTCTGACCAGAATCGATTGTGGGACAAATTATCTGTTTATCAATACAAATGTAGCACTTACACAGGACGACAACCACCACGCGCGTATTTAGGCGCCACCCCCACCCCCTCAGCCCGCAGAAAAAAAAATTAAAAAATTGACAAATCAATTGACAAACCCAGCTCACCGTAGGTGAACGGACGTGGCTTTAGGCCAAGTCAATAGGGACCCCCCCCCCCCACCAGAATTTCTGGATCCGCCAATGACCACCGCCCTTTCAACTTAAAGATTACTTACTTCATCAATATTTTTCTGTTCGACAGAGACCATGTTGACGCTCAATTTCTTTCGTAGGGTAGTGTACGTTGGTACCTTCTTTTCTGTGCAAAAACATGGAACATATTATGAAAAGTTCAAAGCGTGTGCATGGGGGCAATCGTACTATTGGGTCAAAGTTTAACTTACGTCCATTTAGTCTCACGAGATTACAAAAGCAGTGAGAGATTCTTCAAAGATGGCGGCGCCGAATTTGAATGTCCCTTCCTATTTCTCTGTGCCTACAGGTTTGTTTTGAATCTAACTATTTTCACTTACTAGGCGTCTTCTTAGAGTGACTTGATTGCGCATTTATTTATACACTTTTACTGAGACATTATTTTTTCCACTGCCTATACATTTAACGTTCTTGTCATGTTGTTGTCCACTTATTGGTCATGTCGAATCTTGTCATGTCAGTTCAACCATCGACTGTTTATTGTTAAACTTTGGGTACCAGACTCTAACCTGATTTGCAAATGCTAAACACTCATATTGTAAGCGCTATAAAAGTTGTTGCCATTACATGATTGTTATAACACGTAGTGTTCCGTGTGATCTTCTCAATGTGTACAAGACGCTGGTCAATGTCAACAAACATGAAAATGTCAAAGACGTGATACTAGTACACTTACGTACTTGGAGGGGGGG